TTTGAACTAGCCTAAAATACTTTTCAGGTCACAAATTCCCCTGAGGAGAAACTCGGTCATTAAATTCTCTCTTGAAATTTGAAATGTTTTGTTCAAAATTATTCAGAAGAAAATAAAAGTGTACTAAAGGCTACAAGAAAACGCCATTGGTAAACAACAACCTGGATTTTAAATTCTAAATCTAGGCACATTGTAATCATCAGCAATTTACAAATAATGTGGGTGTATTTATAAGGGTTTATACAGTAAGCTATGTACAAATTTTGGTAGTTTTGATTTGTTTTTGTGAATATTGATCACAGTTAAATGTCAGATGACATTTACCCACAGTCTATATCTAAACAAAACTCACCAACCAATAATGCAATGTTTAGTGCCAGACTTTTTTCTGTTTAAGCTACTACTAAAATCCCTGTATAAATTGGATGTATATTGTTGTTCAGTCAAATCAGTAAAATTTGTGAATATGTTACATACCCTGAGAATTTTCTGGGTATTTCCATTACAGGAAGATATTGACAGTGCTTTAGAAAGAGGATTGGCTTCAGTGTGATGTTGATGTCTCAGCCAGACAGGTCGAGTAACAGGTTTCTAAAAATCTGTAGCTTTGTTGGGTCAAGAAATTAACCATAACACAGTGTGAAAATACTATGGCATGTAAGTTTTTTTCCATATGACTGGAATAATTACATGCTAAAATGATTTCATAGGCTAAAATAACAGATTTTCGTATATTACATACAATTGTATTTCAGGAATTTCCAGTAACAGTTTCTTTCATTTTGTAATGATCACAAAACATTGCTACACAGAAATCTATAACTAAACATGTGTTATTGTATGAATATTTGTTTATACTTTTTCTTGTATTTAAACCACTAACTCGCAAGTTCTGCTATATTTCACAAGTGTACTTAATGATCACAGCACTTAAGGGAAATTCCCTTGTTTTCCCTATGTTGAACATTTATTTAGGTCCTCGCTGTCCTTTTCTTTAATGCTATGTTTCTATAAATACTGTAATGACACTATGATATGCCACCACCTAGTTTCTTTGTTTTTATATTATTTTAAGAGAGATATAATCATCAAACCCTAACTTAATGAACACTGCTCGCCTCTCTTTAGAGTGCAGATGTGCAGGAAGCATTAAAATACTGTACTACATTAAGCTCTAGCACCTGAAGGTGCTTATGGCTACAGTACATTTGTAATTACATTTGCAGGAAGCATTACATAATCAACAGACAAATTTGCTATTACTACAGTTGTTCCTTGATCAATTACATCAAAGTTCGCAGTCTTAAAACTGTATTCTGAAATCCAACCCTGTATTCAAATGAGATTGTCAAGAAATTAAAGAACTGTATGTATGTGTTTAAAATCCTATAAACACTGGACAAGTCATCATGTGATTAAACCCTCATATGAAAGGTGCCATATGTTCTGCATTAACAAAATTAACATGATTAAAAATCATGACCCACAATTGCAATTTTGGCAAAAGTCAGTTGTGGTCCTGTACAAAGTGCTTCTCCACAAATACACAAGTTTCACTTAAAAACATCCCTGTTAAAAGGTACATGTCGCCAAAAGGTTAATATGAATTATGGATGTGATATTTAATCTTTACTCCTTCAAATGAAAAGACTGTAGTAGAAATAATGCAGATAAGAAGCTAACAGAACATACAAATACAGGGAAACGTGTATTGATTACTTACATTTATATATATATAGATCCTTCATTAATTTCAATTAACTTCAATGGCCTCCATATGGAAGCAGAAAATTCTACATTGGACAAATGGGGACCAACTAAGAATCTGTGTCTATGTACATAAACAGTATATATATATGCATAACATAGAGAATAGAAAGTTCTAACTGGATGTAAGTTCTTGATAGTGGACAGAAGATTTTCAAATTATTTCCACTCTACAAAATGCAAAGAGATACATTTTAAAATGATAAAAAAATAAAAGTACTGAAAAGCACTCTATCAAATTATTCAAGCCCAAACTAAACAGTCTAACATGAGGATTACTTCTACTTCTAAATACTACTAAATGTCATTTTCTATATGATATCATCAATGTATTTTTATCATAAGTATCTGAAGAGCAAAAACGAAAGAGCTCGTGATTCTTATTCTATTGAGAATGGACTACATACATTAATTTATACATATACATGTATATCAAGAAAATAATTGTGGCAAAATGATTAAGTTTAAGGAATCTTCACTGAAACACACACATTGTTAAAAACTGGCAAAACATTATCAAAACTATCATTCTATTTCTAGACACATTTCTAGCTAAAAAAATTCAAATGGGTACCAATTTAATAGCTTCCTTTTCAGCTAAGATTTTCTCTAATATGTATCACTCCAGTCCCATCATTTGACAGTTCTGTTAGCTTTTGGCATTTCTATTCCATGCAACAGATAGTCAACAACAGGTGAAATTCAAGTATCAATGCTTTATACTACTGTGAACAGACACTGTAATGACAGAAATAAAGACAGGAAAAAATGACATCAGACCCAAAATCAAAAGTGTCTTTTATTTCAAACCATTTATATTGCAAAGCTTTTTCAGATCTTTTGATAGTATCACAGGATAGTCTAGCACCTCAGCGGTTCATCTTGTCAAGATTCAGGTAAATGTATAACCACATATAACTGTATCTGAGGTGTGAAAATACTTTAATAACCTTGAATTAACCAAAGGCTAACAAAATTTCCAAAGTACAAAGAAAATCAGATCTAACATCCTGTATTGTAGATTCAGTAATATCAGCAGTCTTCCGAGGATGGATTCCTAGTGGAATACAGGACTCTAGTTCAAAGATGTGTAAACAGCAAATATAGAGGACCAAACAACATCCGTTGGAAGAATTATAATTGTTTAATAGTTAACATGTCCTCAGAACTTAGTATGCCGAAACATATCAACTATTAAACAGTTTTAATTCTTCCTACGGATGTTGTCTGGTCCTCCATACTTGCTGAAAATTTCCCAAGGTTGAAACTAATCACAAAACTGACTTTGGAAATGGCCAACTCAAAAGGAAGCTTTTAAAGTCTGTTCACCACATTTTACTTCTTTAAAACTAGATGATTTGAAAAATATTTATCAAACTTATATTTCTCATCAGAATGCAAGGACTGCATAATTAATATTGGGTTCATGTGGCTGCCACATAATAAATCAACTTTCTGGCATGGGTAAATTAAAATAGGGTTGGATTATATCATACATATATATGATCATGTCAAGGTCCCCATACTGGTAACATATATTTTTACCTGTTTCTGGTCTTTCTTCTGCATTTCTGAATCCCTTCAATTGGGTCAGATACTAATTGATAAATTTACCAGTACGTGTATTTGTATGCAATATATCACATTGCCAAAAGAACACATGTAGAAAAAATACAAAAATAACCGATCAAGATAGGAGTACATCTGATTTCATTCGGGACCTTCTTGTTATTTTCTATAACGAGAAGTGCGTTGGTGCCATAGGATCCCGAATTGGCATGAAATTGATCACTGCATTAATTGGATGTTCACTCCAATGCAAGCATTCAATAACATATGATTATTTCAATTCAATATTATGTTTATTTTTTTTTAAAGTTTCATTAAAATGATGTGTAAACAACTTGACTGAAAAAATGATAGATCTTCTCCATAACATCGTGCTCGATTTTTGACAGTGCCTATTTCATATGAAGCTGTACATTTCCATATCCAATACTAAAAGTGATGGCATGAACCATGACACATCACCAACGATACGAAATATCAAGACTCAAATCATTTCTAAAAGTAAATTGAAACTGTGATAGCAACCTGTTGATATCACATGTACTTGTGGTTGATATGGTTATGGTAATGAAACTTGAAATGTTAAAAAAACGTTTTCATATTACATCTAAGTTCTATCAGAAAATTGACAATGAAAAAAGTTCCAATCAAGATCTATTTTATAAGAAATCCCACCTTTTTACTCCCGATTTCTTCCACTCAAAGCAGAAATAAGGATACCTTTTCCATTCCTTCTTCTTTCTTACCAATGCCCTCCTTGACCAATCGGAACACCTCGGACGATTTTGGTCATCTTGTGGGGTGAAAATTGTGTACGCCGTCCCCGGCCCCGATACTCGTACAAGGAATTTTTTGCAATATCCTAAGAACAAAACAATCTGATGAATCTCAAATTGTTATGTTCGCCACTTTTGTCTTTCATTACCCATGCCAAAATACAGGTTATATTTTAAGCCACTGATCATGTATTCTCTATGTAATAGCCATTTTACATCATTTAGATTAAGTTCAATAGACATTAATTAAATGTCATGCTGTGAAGACGTTCCGAGTTGGAATGTAAATAGTTTGTTACCATGACAGTATTGTTAATTTAAAGATAGGTGTTCAGAAATAAATTTCTTCTGTAAAGTTGTGGTGTTAGATTGGAATTAGCAGAATGTTTTTCGTGTTTGTAACCATGGTCATCACATGCCAGAAATGTGAGGGAATATTTTATTTACACAATTTTTATTTCTCTGCTATTAAAATAATAATTATACAGTTAATAAATATATATACATGTAAGGATGTATTTTTCATAACCAAACTGCTAGCAGCTATACCTGTATATCTCAAACGTAACCAGTAACTTCTAGACAAGTGCAAATTAACCTGCTGCCTATAGTAATCTAGACGAGGTGTTCCGAATGCTCAGTCACGGATTAAATGGAGTCAGCAATGCGTCTCTACCGACAAAAAAATAGTTTCGTATTTTTGTAGTTGTGTTATGCAGTAGATATGCATAGGCAATTAATTTTTGTGTTGACCTTACACAATTTAAAGTATAGATTTCTATATATTTAAATTATTCGATATTTCTATTGACGTGCAAAATTAAAGCGATGCGATAAAAAATTATACTTGGCGCCATATGACGTCATCAATCGATGTAAACAAGAAAAATGGCAGGTCTGTCACGTTTTGCTCTAAAGCAGAACAAACGACTTCGGAGACTCTGTCACAGCCACATCCAGATACACAACGTCGTGTCAGACAGTGGTATGATTTTTCCTGTCAATTTTAAACACCTCTTATTAGTTTGATATGCTTTAATGATTTAAATATATACATCCAAATATTTTTTTCGTGAAATAAATATTGCTGCGTAATACGTAAACACGGCTGATTGTGTTAACAAAAAATCACGTTATACTTCCTTGTAAAAACCATGCGCATTTCCTGGAAATTACGACATATTTAAAATAAGATTTATCGAAAATTCTTTGTATTGTAAAATTCTGTCTATAGAATCCGAGACAAAGAACTGGAGAAACATTTCAGATAGATCGCAGACTCAGGGAATGGATGGTGAGTCTGATTGCGAAAAAGTTTTTGCTTCCTTATTATGTAAAATTTTACGTAAAAATATGTAAATATACATATACATATATATTGCACATGGAATGAGTATGATTTATAACAACTTAATATATTTTGTTCATCAAACCAGGGACGTATCTGTATTATACGTCCCTGATCAAACAATCATCCTAGAACATAAGAGATGGATTTAGATTAAGTTCGATAAACAGTTACTGAGATGATTGACTTTTTGGTGCCTTAGTAACAATGGTCACTTATTCATGGACAGTATACATCAAGATAAAATGTAAACTTCATGCCTTCCCATATAACAGCTACCACTTGGATAACCACCTATCTGGCTGTTCACATCACAATAAACCCAACAAAAAAGCAAGCAAATGATGTGCCATTTTATACAGCCAAATAAAGGCTGTGGACCAGAAAGATTTGGAATAAAAACCTTGTCTCATATATGTCTTCTTAATTGTTAAAAAAATATTTTTACAGTATTTTCTTGTTTAGGATGCTGTAAGTAGAATAAACTAGAAAATGTCGAAAAACATTAATGCCCCCACTCCCACACAAATGTTATAGACTAATGGTGACCTTAAACCATGAAATACAATTCTACTGACTTACCTTTGCATAAAGTGTTATCAAGATTCTTCAAGAAAAGAGTGGTGATAATGATTTAAAATGGGATGCAGTTCAATTTCATGTAGTTCAATTTGATGTAATGCAATGAAGCAGAAAGATATGATGGGTATACAACTATATATATGCCCCACAACAAAGCGAGACAGACATGATTGGTTTATATACCCCACCCCAACCCTCAAAAAGTTGTAGAGGTAGAGATCCAACAGGTACCGTACTAGATACATATACAAGAAGTCCTGCATCTTCAAACTTTCAAGGTTATAATCGGTTTTGATTGTGTTAGGATCATGAATTGGCTTCCAAAGATATGGTCATTTCGCATTGGTGAATGAATAGTATTGAGCCAAAGTCCTGGTTGATTCAAATCATAAATTTTGCATTGTAGTGCATTTTTCCTAGTAGTTAATTTTTTGAAAAATGAAATTTGGCAGCCCATTTAGAATAGCTTCAGAAGTCTTCAGACATTGCCTTTAGCAATTACATCATCAATATAGATTTGCCTACTGAAGAGTTTAAAGTCGTTTCACACTTCAACATCTTTTTTTCAATTTTTGCTTTATTTTTGAAAAATGTTACAGATCATGAATCGGAGTCAGAGGATGTCTTTGACAGTCTGTATGGCAGTGATTGTGATGACTGTTCGGAAAGGTCCTCTCAGGTCAACATCAACCGGTCAAATTCAACCTCACCGGTCCCGTCAGGAGACACAAGTAATCTTTTCAAAAAGTCCACAGTACTGCCTCTTTCCTTTTTAGCAGCCAAAGTAACTGGTGGACATTATCCTTGTCAATTTCTAGAAGATCATAACCCTCCTTTGGATGAAGATATGATTAAGAAGGTACTGTATGCAATTAAGACTTCCTGTTTGTATGTTTTTAGAAGTAAAAGGACAATGAGTAATTGGTTTCTGTGCAGATTTCCTTTGGAATAGAACCATTTTGCCCTATTGGCTTAACCTCTGTGACATTTAACTAACATTGATTGTTCCTAAGTGGTAAATCAATTAAAAAGATATATGATATAAATAAAGAATGGTGTTTAAATAAACAGAAATAGAGTTATTTCATCTAAAATTCTAGGATGTATAACTTTTTATGCAGCTCCTATCTTCTTTGATCACTGGCTTTTAATCATTTCCCATGTGTCACTGCATATCTATGCTGCTCTTTTGTTAAAATGGTCTTTTCTTTCCTATAGGAATACACATTATTTCTTGTATATTTACATTTCGAAAACACTTTCAAAAATTTAACAATTTTTAGATTCCTTGATATAAATAAAAAGACATAATCATTAGTTTTACTAATACATATATATTATAATATAAATGAGCATACATTTCATATGAGACTTAATGAAACAAGTCTTAGAAGTTTTTATAGGTCATCTAACCAGAAGGGTCAAGATGACCTATATGCATTGTGCTTCTTCCATCGGCATGCATAAACTTTTTCTTTAAAACCCTACTCCTCCTTCATGCCTGGATTGATTTCAACCAAATTTGGTCTGATGCATCATTAGGTGAGAACTATCAGTTCTTAAATACGGAAATTTGATTTGACCCCAAGTTAATAAGAATGACCTTGATTGGCTTGAAAGGTCACAGGGATCAAATATATTAAAATCTTTAAATGACTTCTTCTCAATAACCAAAAGGCCAAGGATGATGATATGAGGCCTGTAGCATGCTAAGATGAAGGACTATCAACTTAATCAATATGAATGATGTTGACCCACTTTCAAGGTCACAGGTATCAAATGTGAAAAAAATGTTTAAATGACTTGTTCTCAATAACCAAAAAGGCCCAGGGTGCTGATATTGGACCAACTCTCTAGTTCAAGTTTGCAGAAAATGTCTTGATGAGCCAACATTGTCTTCTATGTAAATTGTAGAGTAAATGAGCAATATTTTAGGCCTATTTTGCCTCTTTCATACATAGGTCTTTATAGTCTGATGACCATTAAGGACCATGGGCCTCTTGTTCTTGCAAGCCTACTTCAGTGGTGTCATATGCAGAAATATTACATAGGTGACTTCTATAATGTGATTGGCTGATTAGCTAAATGATCTAACACTGGCAGTTTGACATACTCATACTGTATTGGTCTGTCAATGTGCCCATGTTTGTTAACAAGCCTACCTTTACATACTATTATTCAATATTATGTAAAATTACACAAAATATGTTTTGTCATTGCCCTGCAATAAGCCCACAATCTGATATGTTTTCAGTTTCTGTTTCAGAATATTTTGTTGTTTCCCCTGGATTTATTGCGCAATAATTACATAAGTTAATTATGTAATGTAAACCAGCATCACACTATACTAATGTTTGTCTTCCCAGGTAGCCTATTGGGCATTTCCCCAAAGTGAAAGCAGTGTGAAGATCTATGTTAAGCTGGCACATTACAAAGAGGATGATTGGAGGGATGGGGAGACACTAATCGAGGAAAAGCGTATCATAGAAATTGCACAAGTTGGTAAGTTGATGATAGAATGATATCAAAAGGATAAATAGTTAATGATGCACCTGTTGGGTTGCCAGTAAGTTATACAAACTCCCTTACATGGTATTGATTTACCCCACCCCTCCTTTGAATGTAAGGAAGTGTAATGAGATGAAAAATGAGATTAATGTTTTTTTCTTTCAAAATTTCAGGGTTTATGATATCAGCCATATTATCGAAGCCTGTGTTTTTAACATCTGAGGCAAGTGACTCTACTACTATTACCACCAAATCCAAGATGGAAGATGCCAAAGTTACAGTTTCATTTGAGAAGCAAAAAGTGACTGCGTCAACTTGTAGCCTCTGCCCAAAGGTGATCTGGTGTCGACATATTGTTGCTGTGGTAATCTACAGAATACGTAATTCTGACAAGGTAGGGCTCCCTTGGAAGAAACAGAAGTAACATGCATACCATACCAAATTACTATGGATGTCAATTTGTTAGAAATTACTTTTTGAATATTTGTCTTTCACTTTTAAGAGGGCAATCATTGCACACATGGCCCAGTGTACTGTATCAGTAACACTTATCAATATGGAACAGAACGCTACCAACAGTGGCTCAGAAGTCTTCAAAACAATGAACATAACACATAATTAGATAATTGAAAAGATTATTGTAAGAGATAACATTAATATCTATGCCTTTTCTAGTACAGCTATATGCATGTAGTTGATGTTGTCCTGTCCAGATCACTTTACATGCTCCTGTACACACCCCAGTTCAAGTAATATGTTGTTTACCTGTTTTATGATAAGTCCTCTTGATGTTGTTGTTTCCAGATCACTATTCACTTGCATGTTGCTTTTCAGTCTTAAAGTTGTATCTACATTAGTTATCAGTGCCCCCCCCCTCCCTCTCCTATATGGGCACCCTACCTCAAAATGACACTGGCTGTTGACAGGGCAATAAACCTAGTAAACAAACAAGCCTGCCTGCAATATTAGTGTCTTCTTGGTGTTTTAGTTCCTGTTCAATGTACATGCACCTGTCACAGAAGTGTTGTCCACCCTTAGCAGAGACCAGATGCAAAAGTTACTTCATTATGCCATCAGTGAAGACCCTGGTGGAATTATCTGTCGTGTCTTCAAACACATGGGTAAGTCAAAAGGTTCAGTACCATTTTAAATCATTGTCATACTCACCTGTTTGATATATGGCACTAGCTGCATGCATTTGTCTTAGTTTAGTTCATTTGATGTAAAGGATGAAGTTCCCATTAAATGCACCAAAACTGATAGCTATGCATAGACATATTGCTTTAAGTAAACTATCCCCGGGAAGATTTAGATGGAATATAAACCATATTTGGTTTACATATCCATAGGTAATGATTTGAAATACACAAATTGAGGGACTCATGACCATGTTTCTTCCCACCACCAGGCCAGGGAGATAAGGGGCAAGGTGAAAAAAATAGGGTCGTGTGGCCATATATGTTACTTTATGTCAAATATATCATGGTTGTTGATTGTCAACTACTGGTTGGAAAAAAGAAGCAATTTTACGTGATGATGAACCAAAATTGTACAAATCGAGGGTCTCGGACCACCCAGGATGATGAAGTGAGACAAAATCACTGTTTGGTATGCTAAAGAGCCTAGCATCATCATGCTACCAGTATAACATTGGAGCTTTGTCCAAGGGAACTTGACCATTAGGATATTAACTGAATGATACCATCTCATGAATAAAAGATCCAAACACATTTCTTCTCTGATTATTGAAACTGAGGACCCAATTTCTATGCTGTCATCCTCACTAAATACCCTACTACTGATTCCTTGGGTCATAACTAGGAAACTGTTCAAATCACTTCCCTACAACTTTACAGCTGTATGTTTATGCTATGCATGACAAGGCAAAGATAATCATGCTACATAGCCTCGTCCCAGGATCATAAACTGCTTTGTACTTTGCTGCTAATGATCCAGTGTGACAAAATGTAAACATTTAATCCTTACCATAGAACTATGAATCATGGAGTTAAAGTCATGTATCTTCATATACAAATGCCCAATTTGACAAAATTCCAAGTGGAGTTAGGTTTATTGTCAGCATTTTCACTCATCTGCGATAGATAAATTTGGGCTTATTACCAGCCATGGGCTTTTTTGCCCAATAAATACAACAGCAAAAGTAGCAATTGTGAACAACTTTATTGAAATTCTTCTAACATAGGGGAATTCTTCTGACATAGGGGAATTCTTCTAACATAGGGGAATTCTTCTGACATAGGGGAATTCTTCTAACATAGGGGAACACTTCTAACATAGGGGAATTCTTCTAACATAGGGGAACTGTTCTAACATAGGGGAATTCTTCTAAATCAGGGAGGGACAACAAGCAGGAATGGGATTATTCTTACTTGAACAAAAGTCAAGGTCACTGACTCTTCATGGCATAATTACAGTCTAATCTAATTCAAATTTGGTTGAAAACTTATGTCTTAACAACTGCTAGTTTTCTTCCAACTGATGTTACATAGTTACATTTTGTTTTTAGATACTATAAGAGACTCTAGATCAGAGATTAATCAAATGCAGGGTGCACCTGATCCAACATTTGGTATCTGTCCTGACCAGAAACCAGCCGTTGATCTGACACTGACCCAACTCGACCAGGACTTCAGGGATGATATACAGAGGGTCAGGTATATTTAGTTATCCTGTTTTTGAAGTAGTTACAGCTCCATTTAACCCAAGTAACCCACATATAAAGTTTACCATTGGTTTGTTTGTACTTCTTCAAATTTTACCTGAGAAAGGTAACTATTACAGATTATAATTGTCTAACTTTAGTATACAGTGTACTTAACATTTATTTCTTTGATACCGTGTATCTATAGACTCCAATTAAATCTGTAATGATTTTCCTGTCAGACTAAGCAGTATCCGATACCCTGACACATGTAACTTTGACGAGAAAGCCAAGACACAGATCTACCGCTGTTACTTCCAAAAGGTAGCAGAACTAATTGGCAGTGCAGAAATCGACTCTGCAGGGAGAGTGCTCATCAACATGGCCAACAGCACACTTAATGGTTAAGTCTCAGCGCTTTTTAACCCTGTGATACTGTTCAAATTGTTTTTCAGTTGTTTCAAAACTGCCTCATCAGATATCACAAATTAGATATTGTAAATCAAATGTCACAAAGAAAACTAGGATCATTACAAGGTGACAATTTATCAATCAAACTTTTGTTGTCATCTGAATTTTTCCCTTTTTCAAAGAAAATTTTTCATCTTTTACATTCTAAACTCTGCATTTTAATACTAGTATTTATCAATTTAGATAGATATAAGTAAAATGTATCTTGATCATCAGAACTGGGATTTTTCTTCCATAGTGTGATGTGTTTGATGAATCCGCTACTTGTATTTACAGAAATCAACACCCAGAGACAATCAATGTGTATCAATCGTCTGTTTCATGACATTGAGAGGCTCTTTACCTGTTTTGTTGCCAGTTTCAAAGGGCAGATCTGTGAAGATCTTGTCCAAGCTGCAATTGATATCAACAGGTCTGTACACAAAGTATTTGTAGAATTAGAAATACATCCTATTTCAATTTTTAAAATTTTGAATGTAATTGTAGTAAAATTTTCTAATACATACTGTTTGAGTCATAGCAATCTATTGCTGCATGTCTTCAGGAGACATACACTTCAGTTCAATCATGACAATCTACCCAAACCCCTGATCCGATTTCAATGAAATTTTACGGAAACCTTCTGTATCCCAAGATGATTTCAATGAAATTTTGCAGAAACCTTCCGTGTCCTAAGATGAACTGAAATTATACAGTTCCCTTCCCCCCAGGGTCCTGAGCCAAAAGGGGTCAAATTGACTCTGATTTCAAATTTTGTTTTCTCAAGATCCAGGTATGGTAGAATCAAAAACTCTTCATGAATGAAAGTATCTTAACGTGCTTTACCAAAATTGTGAATGTCATGGCCCCAGTATCTTGCATTTCCTTGATGGAAGTGGGATAAGTTTACTATAGTTTACATTGGAAAACTAGATTTTTGAGCATTATTTGTTAAATTTCCTTTGGAAATATTTCAAACTTGGTTAGAATTATGAATGAATTATGAATGAAGGATGACGACTTCACGGTATGCTCATTTTGATCCTGACTGATTCCCAGGGGTGATAGGCGGGGCCAAACAGTGTCAGATTGCATTTTTGGGCTAAACGTTGGTTATTTCCCACTGGAAATAACTTGATAAGAACTATTAGTATAGGATGACAGTTTTGATGGTATGTATGTATTGACCCTGTCTATATTCAGTGTCACAATTTCTGTTTCATGACACTTGATAACTAACCTTTAACCTTTATATTCAATATTGCTTATCTCAGGTGACCATCAAGGCCGCTAGGCCTCTTAACTGAGATCCTTTCTATTCTAACTGTTATTCTGTTCCAAAATGATGTCTGATTAAACAAGTTTCGCTACCCATAATGATTTCAATTTACAACAGTCTACTTCATTAAGGTTGTCCTTATACAGTACAATTCTGGTTTTGTCTTTTTAGTATCATCCACAGCATGGACAATTCTGATGAGTTTGTAATAGCTTCAGAATGGTCAGACTTTGGTTCAATCCCACTGGAGAATTACATAACAGGTACTTGCATGAGTTACCATGACAACAGTTCAGAGGGTATTCTGGGAGCTTCTCGACGGGCACCTTTCTACCAGCCTGTGTGTGCAAGTCTGATCCCTGAACCTCCCGATTCTCTGGAGGATCTACTGTGTGGGAGACAAAAACCACTTACCACGTAAGTATCCTATAGCAAGTATCTTATTATGGGCATATCATACCACTTACCATGTAAGTTTTTTATAGTGACAGGCATGTCATACCACTTACCATGTAAGTCTCTTATAGTGACAGGCATATCATACCACTTACCATGTAAGTTTTTTATAGTGACAGGCATGTCATACCACTTACCATGTAAGTCTCTTATAGTGACAGGCATGTCATACCACTTACCATGTAAGTCTCTTATAGTGACAGGCATGTCATACCACTTACCATGTAAGTCTCTTATAGTGATGAGCATGTCATCAAGCATAGGCTTATTACAGAAATAAGTTAGAATGTTTAGAAAGCCTCAACAATAGTTTGCAGTTCTTTCAGTAGACCTCTGGGATGCTTTTGGTAAGTACCATATTTGAAGAAACAATTTGGTTAAGGTGTGACAGTTTAGTACTGGAATAAATTCTTTTATACACAACCGAAAAATCCTATGTCTGTAAGATGTAGACATAATTGTTTGTTATTAGAGTCTATGATGAGGATGTAGGGATTTACTGATATATGTTACACAGAGCATTGTGAGTCCTAAACATAATGTCTATATTTTAGATCATACGAGGAACATCTTCCTGTTATGTTATTGCGGTTTGAGGCCTTGATGCACTTTGGAACAAAAAAAATGGACAAAAAGCTGTACAATTTAGGAGTGGTCATATTGAGGAAGTTGTTGAACTTGTCTAGACAGGTATTTATTAGTATGTATATATACAATAGGTAAAAGACTGGAAAACTGGAAAAGTTGTAAAACAAATTATCTTTCATCTCTTCTTCAGATGTTTTACATAGATACGAAATGTGACGTCATGAATTACAGTTTAATAGTGACGTCATATTGACACGGGAGATAATATAGTTACAGCTCTGATAATTTTAGGTAAGACAATTTAGTTTATAATTAAATGCTTTTATAAAATACTTTTCTTTCTCTTTCCTTGATATATGATTGTCTGATAAAACTTTATAAAATACTGAAAAATATTTGAAAGTACTTTTTTAGGTCGCCTGAGCGGAAGGCTCATGGTGACCTATTGCCATCATGATTTGTCTGTCGTCGTGCGTCGTTAACTTTTCACATATTCGACTTCTTCTCAAGAACCACTGAATGGATTTTGACCAAACTTGGCACAAAGCATTCCCATGGAAAGCCGCTTCAAGTTTGCGAAGAAAAAGGGTGTGGCCCCAATAGGGGCCCCAGGAGGGGGAAAAAAGGGGTTAAATTAGGTAAATCTTTAAAAATCTTCTTCTCATGAACCAACAGTCAGATTAAGTTCCTATTTGATATTTAGGGTTCTTATGGCATCGGGTCAAAAACGGCTCCCACTAGGGGCACTCAAAAGGGTCAAAAATTCAACTTTGACCAATTTCAACCAAATTTGGTAGAAAGCATCCCTTAGTGAAGGACATATGAAATTATGATGAAAAAAGAGATAATGTCCCCTTTGGGGCCCATAAGGGGTGTAAAAGGGGCCATATGTAAAAACCTTCATTAAATGACTACTTCTCAAGAACCAGTGGGTGGATTTTGACCAAACTTGGCACAAAGCAGCCCTAGGGAAGCCGCTATAAGTTTGCGAAGAAAAAGGGCGTGGCCCCAATAGGGGTCCCAGGAGGGGGGAAAAGGGGAAACTTGATACGAATGTTCTACACAAGGTCCAGGCAAGTGTTCTAACTTTTTGGGGCGATTCAAAATCCAAGATGGCCACCCTGGCCTCTGTTTGGCTAAGACATTATGGACTTCCTCTCAAGAACCATTGGGTGGGTCATGATCAAACTTGGTACAGATGTTTTACACATGGTCCTGCACAAGTCTTGTTACATTTTTGCAACAATTTAAAATCCCAAGATTATTGACATATATTCCTCAGGTGACCGTTAAGGTCCTTTGGGCTTCTTGTTATTCTTGGATTCTGTGTTGATACAAATTGAATAAATTAGTAAGCTAGCTTTTTCTTTTTCTCTGGGTTGTAGCAATACTGCCCTGTTTAGTTCTTTGGCTCTTTTTATCATGTCTTCTATTTTTCTATGGGAGTAATGCTGTAGTTTTTAATACATCTTTGAATTTGTGAGATGTTCCTCTCTGACCTGTTGTTCGCTCGCAATGCTAACGATAGTTCGTGCCAAGTTGTACAGGATCGCATGTTTTGTGCGTCTCGGATGGCAAGATCCAAAATGTAAATATTGACGTTTCCATTGGTTTGTGGTAGATATCTATAGTAATACTTTCATATTGGCTTTATCACTGGTATGTCTTAAAATGGGATTTGATAATCTTTGACTTCCATCATTAATTTTTATATCCGGATCAAGGGTATTCATTAATTTTTTGGATTCTAGTAAGCATACACTTGTGTATATCCAAATGATGAAACAGCCAACTTAAAAAATTTCTTCCGATTTTCTGCTAAAAATATTACAAAATCTTCTCAAAATTCTTTAGTTTTATCATATAGTATAATTTCTAAGTAGCCAAGTGTAAGTGCAGCATACATTGGCACTATCTTAATACCTGTTGCTGTTCCTTATTAAATGTAAATGTATCGTTTCTCAGAATTATTGCCATGGCTTCCAATACAAATTTCTTTTCAAATCTTTTTTCCTTTTTTCTGGGTGTTTTCCTATTTGATATTCAACTGCCTTCAGTTCTAATTCTAACAGTGATATTGGTGTACAGGTCGATGACATCAAATGTTACTACCAGTGCATCCTTATCCACAGCTTCCGGTAGATGTCTGAGAAAACCCAGATCATCCTGAACAGAATTTTTCACATCAGTACATAGAAGTTTTAAAAGAATGTCTGATCATTGATAATTTTATGTTGTTTACAATCAGAAGTAGTAGAATTAAAGCTAAGATGGATAATAATTCGGCATCAGATTATTCATTGGTTTGTTTTTAACATATGATATGCGTATCGAATATATAAAAATTTACAGTTTGACCATACAAAATATTTTGTATTTCTGAGACTCAAGATTCCAGGGACCATCTGTTAGAATTTGAGTGACAATTTATTATGGACATTACAAACTTTTTGTTTCAGTTTTCCGTCATTGGTTGTAACAAAGTGCAGGAGATTTCCAGTGAAGGTATGTTACCATGTTGATAGTCACTCAGAAGACATTCAAATTTTTTTCCTGGATTAAAATTCATTACCAGGGATATTTAGGATCTAGATAGCTGTTGTTAAATCATAATTCTTTAAAAGACATGTCTAAATATTGATGATCAGTTTGATAGTTTCCATGATAGTGTAAATGGCATAGATATGAAACTTGTTTATCACAATGTCACTTTTATTTCTAGGAAAAGTAAACAAAAATCTCCAAATTGATATACTTCTAAGCTTAATTTCAGCTCTTTACAGTTCTTTTTTCCTCCAGTAATTACATAATGATTGGATTTATGACAACTGCAAAGTACTACTGTTGTACAGAGATTATGTTGTTATGTGATTTGTTGATAGAAAATGGAACAGTTCACTGAGTGATAAAATGAAATATAGAAGAATTGGAAATGAAAACTTGCTATAGCAATCGAGCATAATTCAAGGGAGACAACTCATGATTTTGCAAACTTTATTGAGATCACTTTCATGTAACCTAAATGATAATGTCCAAATGCACTTGTACCAGATGCTAGAAACATTATAATAAGAGCTCCCTATTTTACACAAGGATTCTGAAAAAAATGATATTCACTCAGTTTGTTTCTATTTAATACCACTGGCATTCTCCCACTGATTTTGCCAAAAATTCAACAGCCTTTGTGTTGATCTGTACTTATCATTATTCTCTCTGATTCAACCGATCCAACCATTTCAACAGCTTAAGTGAGAAGGACATTCAAATAGACATTGGAAAATGCGCAATAAAAGAGTGTTTGTGGGGTGTTTTTTATGCTTTATATTCCCATTTTTTTGTTATTGTTTGTATTTGACTTTTAGTTCTGCTTCGTAGAAAAAGTGGTTTTTATAACATAAATCTGACACTGATTAATTTATTGTTGTTGGTTTCAGTCTCATCCTCAGAAACTGATGAATCAGAGAATGAATCGGTTTTCTATGCAAAAAAGCGGATACGTAAACAGAAAAATAGACCAAAGAAGAAACTGTGTTCTGTACCTCGTTTAGAAACTATGGAGATTGATATGGAAGGCATGACAAAGGTGAGATTCTATGGGCATGTCTGGAAATTAGATTTTTTGAAGTTCAGGCACTCAATTATTTTTAGCAAAGTTAGTGTTTAATTGTGAAATGCCATGTCAGTATCAAGTAATGAACTGTTTTTTCCCATTAATTATCTTAACAAAATTACAATGCTCAGATCTAGTTGACAGACAAGAGATTCTGTTGCTATTTATTGACGTTATTGCCATGTCACTGATTCTATTTTGCTGTTGCTTTCAAGATAAGATTAGTATATAGATGGATTATAATGTATAATGCATGTGTTTTGATATTGGTTAACACTTGACAGACATTACATGCACATTTTCTTTCAACATGTATTTAGTAAACCATTGTATAATTTGACTTTCAAAGGAAGCAGAGATTATACTCATTTCCTTTTATTTTATTTGTAGGCTCAGATATCCTATGGTCTTCTGTTTGTCTGCTACACACTGTACCAATTGGAAGACCTACTCAGTCTCGGACTTGATGGATTTCCAGTAATTCTGGATGCTACTTTCCGTGCTATGGAGCTTGGCAGATTCAGAGCAATAGCACAAGAGGACACTATATCAGTCAAAGATTACAGCTGGCTGGTATTCCTTGACAAGAAGATACAAGAGTCATACTTTAAGGTTTCAGACATAAATTACACTGCAAGTGTAATGCAGGATTTAAACATCAAGCTTTCAGACTGTGATTGTACCATACAGACCTACCAGGAGCAGGCTGTTCAGAAGTACACTTCAGCACTCCAAGAGCACCAGGCTAGTTTCTATGGTGATCATTACGCCGTAGGATTGCTCAGCTTCTTAATACAGGATTCCCTATTAAGTGATAAGACTGCACAGATGTTATCATTAGAGGGGGCTTGTCTCAGCACGTGTCCATTGAAGAAGCTTACTATACCAGAAAATCCTTTTGGTAAGTGTCTTTTTTTGTCTTGTATCAAAAATTACAAATTTAGTGGCATCCTTTACAACACTTTTAAAGACCATGACCGTAAACCAAAATCCAGTGTTGAAGTACTGTATGATGGGTTCACATATTGAACCATACCAGAAATTAACTTTTGTAATGAATATGTAGCATTATTAGGGCTATACATAGATGAACTTACACAGATGCACTGAAGCAATCTGTGATTATGCATCTCTCCATCTTTTTGCTGTCCAAAGTGCCATATTGGTAGATATCAGAGACAAGGATTTGTGGTATATTGTATATGTATCACTCAAGAATCTTGCTTCAGAAATAATAGAGTTTCTCTTCAATTTATCTTGAAATGAATTCCTTGCAGACACAACGAACGATGATGATATGAAGAGTAGATGGACTTTGATCATCAAGAGTATATTCTCTGGTTTTGTTGACAACAAAGAAAACAACAATACTGTTGTGTCAAAGGTAAGTAACAACATTGAACAGTTGTTTCAAAGTTAAACAACAACACTGTAACAGTTTTATTAAAGATAAACAACAACAACACTGTAACAGTTGTATTAAAGATAAACAACAACAACACTGAAACAATTGTATTAAAAGTAAACAACAACATTGAACAGTTGTATTAATGGAAACAACGACACTGTAACAGTTGTATTAATGATAAATAACAACACTGTAACAGTTGTATTAATGGTAAACAACAACACTGTAACAGTTGTATTAGTGATAAATAACAACACTGTAACAGTTGTATTAATGATAAATAGCAACATTGTAACAGTTTTATTAAATGTAAACAACAACACTAATAATTTTATTGAAGGTAAACAACAACACTGTAACAGTTGTATTAATGGTAAACAACAACACTGTAACAGTTGTATTAATTGTAAACAACAACACTAATAGTTGTATTAATTGTAAATAACAACACTGTAACAGTTGTATTAATGGTAAACAACAACACTGTAACAGTTGTATTAATTGTAAACAACAACACTAATAGTTGTATTAATTGTAAATAACAACACTGTAACAATTATATTAAAAGTAAACAAAAACATTGAACAGTTGTATTAATGGAAACAACGACACTGTAACAGTTGTATTAATGATAAATAACAACACTGTAACAGTTGTATTAATGATAAATAACAACACTGTAACAGTTGTATTAGTGATAAATAACAACACTGTAACAGTTGTATTAATGATAAATAGCAACATTGTAACAGTTTTATTAAATGTAAACAACAACACTAATAATTTTATTGAAGGTAAACAACAACACTGTAACAGTTGTATTAATGGTAAACAACAACACTGTAACAGTTGTATTAATTGTAAACAACAACACTAATAGTTGTATTAATTGTAAATAACAACACTGTAACAGTTGTATTAATGGTAAACAACAACACTGTAACAGTTGTATTAATTGTAAACAACAACACTAATAGTTGTATTAATTGTAAATAACAACACTGTAACAGTTGTATTAATGGTAAACAACAACACTGTAACAGTTGTATTAATTGTAAACAACAACACTAATAGTTGTATTAATTGTAAATAACAACACTGTAACAATTGTATTAAAAGTAAACAAAAACATTGAACAGTTGTATTAATGGAAACAACGACACTGTAACAGTTGTATTAATGATAAATAACAACACTGTAACAGTTGTATTAGTGATAAATAACAACACTGTAACAGTTGTATTAATGATAAATAGCAACATTGTAACAGTTTTATTAAATGTAAACAACAACACTAATAATTTTATTGAAGGTAAACAACAACACTGTAACAGTTGTATTAATGGTAAACAACAACACTGTAACAGTTGTATTAATTGTAAACAACAACACTAATAGTTGTATTAATTGTAAATAACAACACTGTAACAGTTGTATTAATGGTAAACAACAACACTGTAACAGTTGTATTAATTGTAAACAACAACACTAATAGTTGTATTAATTGTAAATAACAACACTGTAACAATTATATTAAAAGTAAACAAAAACATTGAACAGTTGTATTAATGGAAACAACGACACTGTAACAGTTGTATTAATGATAAATAACAACACTGTAACAGTTGTATTAGTGATAAATAACAACACTGTAACAGTTGTATTAATGATAAATAGCAACATTGTAACAGTTTTATTAAATGTAAACAACAACACTAATAATTTTATTGAAGGTAAACAACAACACTGTAACAGTTGTATTAATGGTAAACAACAACACTGTAACAGTTGTATTAATTGTAAACAACAACACTAATAGTTGTATTAATTGTAAATAACAACACTGTAACAGTTGTATTAATGGTAAACAACAACACTGTAACAGTTGTATTAATTGTAAACAACAACACTAATAGTTGTATTAATTGTAAATAACAACACTGTAACAATTATATTAAAAGTAAACAAAAACATTGAACATTTGTATTAATGGAAACAACGACACTGTAACAGTTGTATTAATGATAAATAACAACACTGTAACAGTTGTATTAGTGATAAATAACAACACTGTAACAGTTGTATTAATGATAAATAGCAACATTGTAACAGTTTTATTAAATGTAAACAACAACACTAATACTTTTATTGAAGGTAAACAACAACACTGTAACAGTTGTATTAATGGTAAACAACAACACTGTAACAGTTGTATTAATTGTAAACAACAACACTAATAGTTGTATTAATTGTAAATAACAACACTGTAACAGTTGTATTAATGGTAAACAACAACACTGTAACAGTTGTATTAATTGTAAACAACAACACTAATAGTTGTATTAATTGTAAATAACAACACTGTAACAATTGTATTAAAAGTAAACAACAACATTGAACAGTTGTATTAATGGAAACAACGACACTGTAACAGTTGTATTAATGATAAATAACAACACTGTAACAGTTGTATTAGTGATAAATAACAACACTGTAACAGTTGTATTAATGATAAATAGCAACATTGTAACAGTTTTATTAAATGTAAACAACAACACTAATACTTTTATTGAAGGTAAACAACAACACTGTAACAGTTGTATTAATGGTAAACAACAACACTGTAACAGTTGTATTAATTGTAAACAACAACACTAATAGTTGTATTAATTGTAAATAACAACACTGTAACAGTTGTATTAATGGTAAACAACAACACTGTAACAGTTGTATTAATTGTAAACAACAACACTAATAGTTGTATTAATTGTAAATAACAACACTGTAACAATTGTATTAAAAGTAAACAACAACATTGAACAGTTGTATTAATGGAAACAACGACACTGTAACAGTTGTATTAATGATAAATAACAACACTGTAACAGTTGTATTAGTGATAAATAACAACACTGTAACAGTTGTATTAATGATAAATAGCAACATTGTAACAGTTTTATTAAATGTAAACAACAACACTAATAATTTTATTGAAGGTAAACAACAACACTGTAACAGTTGTATTAATGGTAAACAACAACACTGTAACAGTTGTATTAATTGTAAACAACAACACTAATAGTTGTATTAATTGTAAATAACAACACTGTAACAGTTGTATTAATGATAAATAACAACACTGTAACAGTTGTATTAATGATAAACAACAACACTCTTACAGTTGTATTAATGGTAAACAACAACACTAACAATTGTATTAATGGTAAACAACGACACTGTAACAGTTGTATTAATGGTATATAACAACATTGTAACAGTTGTAGTAAAGGTAAACAATGACACTCTAACAGTTTTATTAAATGTAAACAACAACACTAATAGTTTTATTAAAGGTAAACAACAACACTGTAAAACTTGTATTACAGGTATAAGTATGTGATGTTTTAAGCAAGTGGCATTTGGTTTCTTATCAATTTTATTACCTTTAATTATGCAGTCCATGTAATCTAAATCTTTCCAAACAAACTTAACAAATAGTTCACAGACTACAACTCAGAAATGGTTGTGCATATCATAACAAAATGTGGCACACTAGCTAGTGCCAGCAAGATGTGGCTTTTGCGGTCAGACATTTTAGAGTTAAAAGTTTTATAGTTACCATGGAAACAAATAACAAATATATCCGTTTCACTGTTTCTGTATTGTTTCATGTCTCTGATAGTGTATATAGACTTGTCAGACCAGTGATCTGAAAGTGTCTGAATGTTAAAATGTAACATTTCCTTGAAAACTTACACAATGTAACCTATAAACAGCTTATATGACTAAAATAATACATCATTAAATTTGTAACATACCAGGTAAACACTCACACAAATACATATGCAAAAAAGATTGGGAATAGCCATCAACAAAAACATGATGAGTAGCCCAAATACATGTTCTTAACAAAATGTAAAATTAAACAATGGCTTTGAAAATACTAAGAAATATATACAAAGCAAGGGTGATGTACGGGGATGGTGGGTGGGAAAGTTTTATAACTGTCCAATGCCACTAAAAACCTGCCCACGTGCTGCTTCTCTCTACACTTTCAACACTTTTCTCTCTCTTACAAACAACTGCTCTCACTGGTTGATTCTGATCACGTGAACTTATACGTCATACTAAATTTAGACACCCTACATAAGTGTAAACAAACTAATATCTACCGTCAGTAATAAGTCTGTACTAATAACCTACATCAATTTATAACCTATACACCCATGCTTACACACACCAGCCAGCAAATAAGGATGACGATATGTTGTGTATAAACTCAAATTAAATAAATTTCCATAAAAGGGGCCATATGTAAAAACCTTCATTAAATGACTACTTCTCAAGAACCAGTGGATGGATTTTGACCAAACTTGGCACAAAGCAGCCCTAGGGAAGCCGCTAGAGTTTGGAGTTAAAAGTTTTATAGTTACCATGGAAACAAATAACAAATATATCCGTTTCACTGTTTCTGTGTTGTTTCATGTCTCTGATAGTGTATATAGACTTGTCAGACCAGTGATCTGAAAGTGTCTGAATGTTAAAATGTAACATTTCCTTGAAACCAAATGGTCCAAAACATTTTTGTTGTAAATTGTGCCCAGGTAGTTTCTTTTATGGAATTTTGGACATGGGGGGATATTGTCGTACCCAGTGTAGTCTTATACTTGTTTTAGGTAACATGAGAGCTATTGTTATCAAAAAAATAAAGCACACATGAAATGTAATTATGAACATTCAGATGATGACTATATCTGTAAGAATGATTTTATTCAGTTCCTGGCCTTCATAGAAAGTATTGATGATGTGGAGTACGCCTGTCTAATCTACGATGTACTGAAGGACTACCAGAAAGAGTTGACATTGCTTGAGCAAAAAATCTCCTGTATCAAATTTCTACTGCGATTGGTCAAGCTTTGTAACAAGTCAGAGGCAGGACAGAAGGCTATGCTTTGTACCTCATTTGTGGAAGTAGGCCTACCCATTCATCTGGAATTTCTTAGCCTGATTCTTCCTGACTGGCAGGAGTTATGTCTCTTCTTTCACACAGAGCATCTCAAGAAGATCATACAGGTAATCGTAGAGTCCCATTTAAGGTTATGATACTTTAAAGTAATTAATTGGTCCATCTGTTCCTTCATACTAGCCATAATACTGATCTGATTGTCTGTTTTGATTTTTATTTCTAGAGAATTCTCACCATAGTTTTTCTTCTTTCCCTTTTTTTTGCTCTTTATTTAACAAACTAGAAGATGATGAGATACTTGTAAAGGTAAACATAGGAGTCATTAGAAGTTTTTCAATCTTAATTAAAATCAAATTTCTTTTCACTTCATACTATACATGCCCATCTGACAGAGCCTGAAATCTCCCATGCAGGCATAGGTCATTTTTCATTCTATTGTTTCTCTGAAATTGAAAAAATGGCTGACCCCCTCAGTTTCTTCAGTTTGATCCACTCCATTAAAGATTGACAATTGTGTGTAGGGTGGGGGATGGTCTCCGCAAGAAATTTTCAGCTTTTGTCATAATATTATGTCAAAGTTATAGCTGTCTTTTAAAATATAATGTTTTATTAGGTCAAACCCACATCACATTTTGGTTAGCACTGACATTGAAATGCCATCTTTGTTTCCTTATTAACACCATTTAGTGGGTGTGTTTTTGTAATGTTCTTAGTGCAAAATTCTAAATTCTACCACCCTGATTGGCTGTTAAAAGTGTGATGTCTGGTTATCAACATAGTGATTTTAATACACAGGACTAAGATCCTCATGTAACGAGATCTAGAGTACAAAGTGAAATAAGATATACATGGTATATCAAAGATACAAAAGTGCGGTACAGGAAGTGTTATTGTCTACTTGCTTCTTTTGTTTTTAGGTTATGAAGGATGTTGACAATATTCCAAAGGAGATTATTGACATGTTGCTGAAGTACTTTGAGGCTCCCTATAAACATGATGAGGAGTGCAGTGAATTCCTCAGATTTGTCCATGACCGTGCTCTAAGGCAAGATGCACTACAAAAGGTCATCTATAACTACAAGAACTACACACCAACAGCACTACTACTTTTGGCAAAAATCGAACATAATGAATCGGAATCTTCCATTTTACCATATGGAGATATATTTTCTGAAAATGTGTTCCTTTTGATACAGCAGGCATTTAGAAGGCTGAGAGAAATAAGCAATGAATCCAATGAAGAGGTGGAGACATTCTCTGTAGATCTTCGTGTTCATCTACTGTGGTTTTTTGAGAAAATCTCAGATTGTGGCAAGTTTGGTACTAACTATGGTAATGATATTGTGAAAGGCTCACAATTTTCAACAATCATGGATGATCTAGCCAAAACTATCAGAAATGACTCCCAGTTGCTTGTTTCATTCTTCAGTGAAATGAAAAAGTCAAGACCCCTGTTTGACCGTGCAAAACAAGTTTTAGGAGAGCATCTGATTGGTAACTATCAGAGGCGATTTCAAAAGCGTCTTCGTACCTGTGGCAGATGCTCATATGAATATGTGCTGCAAGAGATGAAAGAAGCACGGAACCACTGTGTGCAATATGTTGACAATGGAAGTGCTCTGTTTAAAAGGAATGTGACTGACTCTATCAGACGCCTACATCGTGGCAAAAAGAAATTTTTACAGTTGATGGACTCAAAATTCCCTGAACTACACCAGGATTTCTAGAGTATGAAATAGGATTTTTACAATCAATGGATTCAAAATTCACAAATATTAGTGTGCCTGATTTTTGAATGAAAAGGATTGATTACAAGATATCTTAAGACCTCCTTGATGGATTAAATCCTCCATAGATTTGGATCAGAGGCAAAAGGTGAGGGATAAGGAGTACAACTATGTAAGCTATAGATAAGCAATAGATTGTTTGATTGAGATGCTTACAGGACATTAAAATGTCTTTCTTTTCATTTGTGCTACTTCATATATGTTATAATATGTCCAAAAGTATGGCATGTAATGTACTTGTAAGCTATATACATGTTGATAGAAAGGAAGACGATATGAACATAGTGCTAAACACATGGAATGGAATTGTTTTCAGTTGTACCTGATGTCTATAATATTTGTTACTGAATTAAGTACAGCACTAATGACTTTGTTATGATTGCTATGAAAGTTGAGTTTTTAAAGACACATGTGTGTGTATGATGTTTGTATATATATATATATATATATAGAGAGAGAGAGAGAGAGAGAGAGAGAGAGAGAGAGAGAGAGATATGTTAATTAGTTACCTCGTTTGCTTGGTTTACTGCTACATGGACAACCAAGAGTCATTCACAGCGAGATTTCCTTGTAATACCTGATGACTACCTCACAGAACAATGTACGATAGTCCCAACATGCACATGCCATCCAAAGCAATTTAGGTAAGGTGTCTTGACAAAAGACACAACCACAGCAGCACAGACTGGTCCGTTTTTATGCTTCCTGAAAAAAAAACTGCACTGATCATGAGAACGGATCATGAAACAAAGCATTAGATCAATACCTATAGCTACATGTAGGCCAACATTTTACCAAACAAGCTAATGTGTCCCCACGTTAGAGATAGGACCAACTGAAGGACTTTGAATTAGATTAATCTAAGGTCTCTGCCATACTTTCGTAGAAAGGTACATGTAGTTTGACCCACTGATGATAGACGATAAGCTGTAAGTATCATTAATTCAATATGCAGCAAGTCTTTAATTCTGGTCTAGCATGATTGTGCTATCTACTATCATTTACCCACATCTGATGCAGTTATATTGATCGTCATTGTGGAAATTCAGAAAATGTATTAATAGTGATGATGTAATGGTTTCATAGGGGTTACAGTACTATTTTACATTTTTTGAAGGTAGTCATGTGATTATTACATTATAGTCAGAGAATTGTAAGACTGAGTATGGTAACTACTGTTGTGAAGATATGAAACTGAGTTAAATCTCCATTGATAAAGACAGAAAAATGAAGGTATCAAATTAGGTTGTATCTCCATTGATGAAGGCAGAAAAATGAAGATATCAAATTAGGTTAAATCTCCATTGTTGTAGGCAGAAAACTGAAGATATCAAATTAGGTTGTATCTCCATTGATGAAGGCAGAAAAATGAAGATATCAAATTAGGTTAAATCTCCATTGATGGAGGCAGAAAAATGAAGATATCAAATTAGGATATCAAATTAATCTCCATTGATGGAGGCAGAAAAATGAAGATATCAAATTAGGTTGTATCTCAGAAAAATGAAGATATTAAATTGATGAAGGCAGAAAAATGAAGATATCAAATTAGGTTGTATCTCCATTGATGAAGGCAGAAAAATGAAGATATCAAATTAGGTTGTATCTCCATTGATGTAGGCAGAAAAATGAAGATATCAAATTAGGTTGTATCTCCATTGATGTAAGCAGAAAAATGAAGATATCAAATTAGGTTAAATCTCCATTGTTGTAGGCAGAAAACTGAAGATATCAAATTAGGTTGTATCTCCATTGATGAAGGCAGAAAAATGAAGATATCAAATTAGGTTAAATCTCCATTGATGGAGGCAGAAAAATGAAGATATCAAATTAGGTTAAATCTCCATTGATGGAGGCAGAAAAATGAAGATATCAAATTAGGTTGTATCTCCATTGATGAAGGCAGAAAAATGAAGATATCAAATTAGTTTGTATCTCCATTGATGTAGGCAGAAAAATGAAGATATCAAATTAGGTTGTATCTCCATTGATGTAAGCAGAAAAATGAAGATATCAAATTAGGTTAAATCTGTATTAATGAAGGCAGAAAAATGAAGATATCAAATTAGGTTGTATCTCCATTGATGTAGGCAGAAAAATGAAGATATCAAATTAGGTTAAATCTGTATTAATGAAGGCAGAAAAATGAAGATATCAAACTAGGTTGTATCTGAATAGATGACAGAAAAATGAAGATATCAAACTAGATTATATCTCTATTAATGAAGACAGAAAAAAGAAGATTTCAAACTAGGTGAAATCTGTATTGATTAAGACAGAAAAATTTATACAAATTAAAGCGATCACAATACCGAAGTCAACAATTCAGAACTTTATATGTTCAGAAACAGAAGAAAAAAGCCTTAAAAGTTATTTTTGAAATTGTATTTTGCTTTTCTTATCATAGAAAAACCCAGTAGAAATAGTTCTGCTACAAATGCAGGCATATGTCACATGAAGCTATATATCAATATAATCATTATTTTTACTTACTAATGATAATAATAACATGTACATTTTATTGAACCACTTTTGCTTCTCTTATCCATTGTTTTACTGAAAGACTTACAGAACTTAACAAGTAATCTAGTACTTAACCATCGTAACACTATTGATATAAGAATATTAAATCTTCTACATGTACTAGTCCCTCTTTATCCATTCAAGTTAATTATGCGTGTATATGACAATTGCTAGAATTTCATTCACATCTTTTTGACAGTCTGATAGCGGTATAGTGCTTGAAACTGTTTAGATATTTCACACAACTACCCTATTGTGTCAGCACATATTAGATAGGTATTTGCTTTACCTGGTAATATAACCTGATGTAGCTGTGAAAATTCTCATTGTTTTCATTGTGACATCATATTTATGCATGTGACATCATCAAATAAAGCTAGAGTGAGAATAAGATGTATTGCCAATTTATATGTATTTATATGTTTGCAAAAGTATCTAAGTTATGTGAAATTGTCACAATTTTTTTTCATTCAACGTTGCCATAGGTCAAGTCAAATATAAAAACCTTAATCAAATTTGTTTCACGAATCTCATATGTAAAAGAAAATCCTGAAACATCCTGTTTGTTTTTAAGATTAAGTGTTTTTAAGATTCAGTGTTAACTATAATAATAACTCCATCTTACTCAGATATTTTAACGTCGATGTCTTGAATATTGTGTAGGTCTGTTAGAAATAACTTGGAAATTTGATATTTTAAAAGGTGTGGGAGACATGTATTTTATGTATTTTGCATTTTGCTAACAAATTATCATACTAACAAAGTAGGCTAGGTAAGGTATAATTATGTTGTGCCTGTGGAATTTCATATATATATATTAATGACATTTGAAATATTTTCATTTTTTCCTCTTTTGTCATCAATTAGATTAAACCTAATACAGATTAAGATTGAAAAATTGTTGGTGTGATATTTAGCAATAATAATATTTTGTGGTAAATTTTCAAGTTTAAACCCAGGCAAAGGTTACAGCATTACATGTGCCATATAAAAGAGTTGCTTGTTTACTCATGCAGGTACACTGTTTGGTTGTACCAAGAGGTAATCATATTTAATGTTGGGTAATCACAGATGTGCTCCATGAATTTTTACTTTCACTTAGATCGTTATAGTGTAAATTTATAGTTCTTATAATCCCGGTGTGTAATTTTATCTGTTTTGTTATGAATTCTTTAGTATTTGTATGTAGTATGGACCAGATTATGGTTATTTAAATTATCATTTAAATTTGATAAAGGTTTCATAGCTTCATTTTTGTCTTAATTCACAAAAATTTGCATTTGCATCTTGCTGAATTGGATTGTTTAGAAATTGAACAAGGTACTGAACAGATCAATCTGATGATTAGACAGCATACTATATATTGGGTCACATTATGAGATGGGATGCTGAATTATTTCACATTATGAGATGGGATGCTGAATTATTTCACATGATGAGATGGGATACTGAAAGAGGTCAAATTATGAGGTGGGATACTGAAATAGGTCAAATTATGAGATGGGATATTGAATTATTTCACATTATGAGATTGGATACTGAAAGAGGTCAAATTATGAGATGGGATATTGAAATAGGTCAAATTATGAGATGGGATACTGAAATAGGTCAAATTATGAGATGGGATACTGAAATAGGTCAAATTATGAGATGGGATATTGAATTATTTCACATTATGAGATTGGATACTGAAAGAGGTCAAATTATGAGATGGGATATTGAAATAGGTCAAATTATGAGATGGGATACTGAAATAGGTCAAATTATGAGATGGGATACTGAAAGAGGTCAAATTATGAGATGAGATACTGAATTATTTCACATTATGAGATGGGATACTGAAAGAGGTCAAATTATGAGATGGGATACTGAAATAGGTCAAATAATGAGATGGGATACTGAAATAGGTCAAATTATGAGATGGGATACTGAAATAGGTCAAATTATGAGATGGGATAATGAAATACGTCAAATCATTAGATGGGATAATGAAATAGGTCAAATTATGAGATGGGATACTGAAAAAGGTCAAATTATGAGATTATTATTGAAATGAGTCACATTATGAGATTATAATTGAAATGGGATTACTTGATCAGAAAGGATACAGAAATGGATCACATGTTGAGATAGACAGAACTATTTGGATATTAGGTACATATTTGTGAAAATGAGATGTCATTATCAAGTACTAAGTACAAAGAAAAGCTATTAGAAATTCTGTTACTTCTGAAAGAAGTTGTGATCCAGGACTAACATTTTGTTTGACTAGTATCCTGTCATTACTATTTTATGTTTATGGACAAATTCAAAGAAAAAATCAGAACATATCACTTGTGTAGTCAAATATTAAAAAATACCAATTGTATAATACCAATATTTTTAGAATTTGACCGAATTCAGTGAGGAACTTCATA